ACTCACGTGTCTGTTTATTTTAGAAACAGTACTTGTAGTTTTTAAAAAATATAAATGTAATATTCCAACAATACTCAAAGAACCTTTTAACTTCCCTTGCCTATACCCTCTTCCGGCTTGGTATATGGCTCTATTGTGTATAGCGGGAAGAAAATATTTAACCACTTGCCAATTAATATAAGAAGTGCTGACTCATTAAAAATATTTTAAAAGCAAGTTAAGAAACTCTTGCTCAAAAAGACCTGCCACAAATGGATAAATTTTCTGTGATCGGTTGAATTAAGTAGGTCATTTTAATTTATGTGTATATATTTGTCAATTGTCATTTTGTACTTGGTGTTGTGTATATACATTTTTGTTCATTATATTATATTTTATGACTTGACATTAGAATTTTAAACCATTTTTAAAAACAAAAAATGTAATTTATTAAATATTTATGTTTGTTTCTTTTCTTTGAATTTTAATTTTTTACTTTTGTTTTTAGCTTTCTTATACTTTTGTGTTATCTATCTTTGTGAATAAGAATGTAATTAATTCTTCAACAATAAAGAAATTTCGAACTAACTTGAGGTAGCAAAACCGAATGACAGAAAATGCTTGCAAAATGATTTTTTTATTGTTATATACGTCTAGAAACGTATCATTTTAATGAAAGCAAAAAAAATAAAAAAAAACCATATATGATCACAATTACTTTAAATTCGACAGGTTACACGACATAGTACATGTCACTTTTTGAAGTCAGGTGAATGACGTCTTCTTCTATGGATAATGACTACTATTGTTACTAATACTAATTTTTATAAGAAGCAACCCGCGATGACTCTAGGCCGCTCAGGTTATAATTTTTTTTTTCAATCTTTTTGAATGAATATACTATTATTAAAGTGCAAAATTGGCCAATATAAAAAGCTCCGGTTGTTTCTTGGTGGTCAATTGGAGTATACGGCAACATTTTAAATTAAAGTTGAAGGTGGTAGCCATGTGTGAGTTATAAGTTCAAAAAGGTAAATCAAACAAAGGTGGTCCTTAGGATCTCACAAGAGTATTTTATTACGACCGGTTTCGAGGATCAAATCCTCATCATCAGGTAAGGTCCGTAATTACTCATCTATTTAAGACTAAGCTAATAGAATTATCCCAGGGTCGGTGTAAAAACAAGTATGCGAGTATTTTTTAAAATACATAAAAAATATAAAAAAAAAACAATAGTTGCAACAAAAAATATAATATAATATATAAAATATATTTTTGTTGCAACTATTGTTTTTTTTATATTTTTTATGTATTTTAAAAAATACTCGCATACTTGTTTTTACACCGACCCTGGGATAATTATATTAGCTTAGTCTTAAATAGATGAGTAATTACGGACCTTACCTGATGATGAGGATTTGATCCTCGAAACCGGTCTTAATAAAATACTCTTGTGAGATCCTAAGGACCACCTTTGTTTGATTTACCTTTTTGAACATTTTAAATTCTTATCTGGAGGTAATAAAGTTCCTAATTGGCGCCCGCCCCAAATTGGTTATCGCGCAACCCTGGGGTCTGGGATAGGGATGCACAGAAATGTAAAAATATCGGTACTGCGTTTAAATGATGTATTGGAAGGTGCGCCTCGATATATTTTTCTGAGATATCGATATTTCTTTTGTTAAATCATTGCTATTATTTATTTATATTTATTTTATTTTAGAGTATTTTACATTTAAAGGTTAAAGATCTTTTGGGCACTTCTTTATAAGCTTACTATAACATACTTGGTTACAGTATTGTGGTTTTGATTTTGTTATTGTTTATTATAGTTTGCTCCAGTAAACTTATGCTTTAGTAACATGTAACCAAAGCAGAGAAATCAAACTTCATAAAGAAATGCTCTGGTTATATAAGTATGTTCTGATAAGCTTATAAAGAAATGCATTTTGTCAACATCAGCTATCGATAATGTCAAGACATAAGCGTAACATTGCGTTTTATTTTTTTATTGTTAATTGTCTATGTGTGTCTCCTGGTTTTTTTAAACAGTTTTTTCATTTGGTTTTATATATTTATGTCAAATGCAAAATGCTGCTGCTAACAAATAAAAGTTCCATACAATATACAACCATATACAATACTAAATACGTTATACCCATCTTTACGCCTGTGTTCTACCATCAACATAATTGACGGCTGACATTGACAATTTTTTCAACCTTTATGGGTATGGTTCGATATTAACCGACTACTAACTGCAAGTAACCAGGATTTTTTGACAACGGTTCCTAAAAAAAAACTAAATTCTTGGTTACATTTGGACCACGGCTGACACTTACGTCAGTTTTGTGACACATTGACATTCGACTTAATAGTAACCGTAAAAATATAGCGGTTAGTAAACTGACCTTTAAGTAACCATTTTCAGGTAACGGCGTCCCTAATTTAACCGATTTTTCAAGAATGTCATGCAGAGCGGTTAGGTTTGGACTTTTTTTACCTGGACATCATCTCCATCTGCACAACCAAAGGATGTCCACAAGGAGAAGTTCTATCCCCACTAATGTGGAACCTAACCGAAGATGAACTTTTATGAAGATAGTCTGACCTCGGCATAACTTGTCAAGGTTATGCCAACGACATAGTCATATGTGCTACAAGTACATTTGGACATATTCTGTAAGCTATAGTCCAAAAAGGACCAGAACACATCAAAAGATAGTGCCGTGAGGTGGGACAATACTAGAAATGCAAGGAAAAGAAAACTCAAACTCAAATTAGACGAGATAGATATAGAATGGAAAAATAGTCAAATACCTAGGCTTGGACAACAAACTTCTCTGGAATATACATGAGAAGGAAGTAGTAAATAAGGCCACAAAAGCTATAATGCTATGCAACAACATTGCTGGTAAAATATGGAATTGTAAACCGAACATACAGTGATAGATGTATACAGCAATAGTGAGACGAATCATAACTTACGGGGCTATGACCTAGAGTAACAAAACTAGCTACTACGAGAGCTAATATTTCAAAATTACAAAGACTGACAGATGTTTGCCTCACCGGTGCAATAAGAACCTGTCCTACGGCTGTAATGAATGTGATATTAAACCTCACTTATCTAAATCTAAATTTAATGATAGAGAACGTGGAAAATATGACACAATGTAGAATAATCAGGAACGGGAAGAATTAAACGAAAATCTATTAATTTGAAGGATGAAATGAGAAAGAATTACAGTTTTGTGAAAAAGAACGAAAGAGCAGAGCTGAGCTGAGCTGCAAGAAAGAATGGAGCCAAGAATCCATCGTGCTTGTAACTAAAAGACATGCTATTCAGTGATATATAGATGGTTCTAAAACCATAGAAGAAACTGGAAAATAAGAATATACAGGCCTAGAACCAGGCACTCCAAAAGTTTGGGAAAATACCCAAACATCTTCCAGATGGATATGCACGCCATTGAGAAGTGTATCTAGTTTAACATCGAGTTTAACATTATGTCCGATAGCCAAGGAACCAACGAAGCGCTAAGCTCTTACATAATCAGCTCAAAAATGGTCTGAAAATGCCTAACAACTGAATGAGCTAGGCGAGGAGAATACGGTTACTCTTACTTGGAACCCGGGACATAAAGAGGTAAAGTGCAACGAGATTGCAGATAGTTGTGCAAGGAAAGAGGCTCAAAAACCTTTTGTGGGACCTGAGCCACACAATATTAGGAGAGATTAAAAAAGAATTTGGCCGTAAAAGAATCGATAATTGAAACACTTTCTTGGGACTAAGACAGGTTAAGATAATTCTGGGTCAATATAACCAGAAAATATGGAAAACCTGTATCTGCCAGAGCAAGAATAGGCTACGCATTTAACATGAATCCATACTGGGCAATGCCGATTCAAAGGGCTCCTTAGTAAAGCAAGAGTAATAGAAGATAGTGAGTGCAAATTTTGTGGGGAAGAATACGAAACCTCCATTCACATTCTGAGTTATTTAATCCAGGGGCACTATACCTAGGAGCATATCAAATAGAAGAAGAACATTTACCTTACTTGAAGTCACTTCAAATCCTACACTTCCTTGAGAAGATAGGATTGGAAGGGTCGTTAGCAACAGAAGGGGCATATTTTAGGTGGAGGTGCATTAACACCTCATTCCCAACATATTATAACAACGTCCTAACGACGTCATAACATAAGGGTTCCGTGTCCACAAAAATTTGGGTACCGCTGCTGTAATAAAACCAAACCAGGAAAACAAAACTGCGAATCAGACTGATATTTTATTACATGTGTTTCAGGTATTTTGTTTGTTATAATATTAATATTTTTATTTGAAGCAAATTAAAATAGAAACATTGCCCAAAAATAAAAAGAAGGAAAAGAAAGACGTAATAATAATTAAAAATATAATTATTTTATTATTTTAATAACATTAAATCTTTTAGAGTGTCCTGATGATGGCTTAATGGCTAAGGCACTCAAAAAACTAAAAATCTATAAATATATTGTTATAATATTTCATCATTACACGCCTTAAAGAGTTTTTTTTATTTTTTATCAACCAGAGTGTACACTCCTAATAACCTCTAGAAGGATTTTATAAAAAGCTTAATGAAAAGTAAACGGATATATTATTAAATTTGATATATATCGTATATATCTGATATTTTTATATTTATAATGAATATCACGATATTTTTCAACACTGCCAACCCATGTGTCAATATATCATTACGAAAATCAGCCCCGGTCTCCCCTACATACCTGTTTAACGACAACTCCTTAGATCATGATTACCTCAAATCATTTAGACTAAATACCACATTTTTTAAATTACAGGATTTTATTGCATCAATGATGAAATTTGTTTAATTTAGAAAACGTTTTATTTATATATATATATCTTAGCGAGATTAATAAAAAAAAGTAAAAATAGTACATCGTTATTATTCGTTAAACTTCGTTGCACGCATTGGGTAGGTCGGTAGCGTCACTTAAATTAATTCACGTTTCACGTTTTACGTTGCATAACCTAACCTCACATCACTAGTGAAGATTGTGTGAGAATATTGTTTACGAATGATATGACTGTTTACTATTTCAATGTTTATTATTTTATGGTCCAATTTTGAGGTTGTTTATAATATTAAACGGTTAACAAACTAAATAATATGTTATCAATTCACTTTCTCTAAATAATTCTTCTAAAATGGGTAAGTTTTTGTTGTTATTGTATACATAAGTAGGTATATACCTTGTTTAGTATTAATTACACACATATAACAGATAATTATTTTATTAAATGTGTGCATGCGTTTATTTCTATTTAACTATGTTTATATTTAACCTTGTTTATTTTTATATGGAAACTAAACCATATTGCCAATTAGTAGGGTTAAGCGGGACAATATGTTTTAATAATTATTTGATTATTTGAATTGATTTTCGTGATTATTGTGTTATTCTTATTGTTACGTTTCATCCTAACTCTAGAGTAGGTATGTATACCATTTTCTATATGAAGGGTAGATGGAGAAATTTGCCAAGCAAATCTATTTTTCTCAAAATTGCCTGTGAAGGTGCTAAATACTTTCATTAGTTTTCTTAAAAGTTCTTTATAGTTTGTTGATAAGTCACGGGAAGTACCGTACCTACTTCACAAAATATACCTGTTAAACCAATACAAAAATAAGACATGATCAATTTTTACATTGTGGAATTACTAGTTTAAAACTACCGTGTGAGCCACAAACTCTTTTTCGAAAAAAAAAAAAAAAACAAGATGTTAATATGTAAGGAGTATCAATTCTATAAGAATAAAATTATAATTAGAATAATAAATTGATAAGTAAATACCAATATAATTATATCAATGGTTATTGCAAAAAAGAGTATGTAAAATTTATATTTTAGTACCAAATTATACTAACCAGTGTTTTGTGAGGAGTTTTCACAGAGCCGGATGCCATTAATCTGAAAAAAAAAAAAAGAAAATTTTATTAAAATAATTACCTACATAAATGTTAGTACAAAATATAACAAGTTATATCGATGTAAATGATTAAAAATGAGACAAAAAAGGAAAGAAAGTTTGTAAATAATTTAAAGTGATTATAACGAACATTCGTAAAAAAAAACTTGAATATTTTATTTTTTTACTTAGTTATTCCCATTATAAATATTATTGAAATAACTTTCAATACAAATATTAAATAGGTAATGACATTTATAATTAGGTTTTCAACTTATTGCCTGTTAAATCTTTGACTAAGAGATTTACTAGTGGCATTTCGACATTAAGTATTTATTTAAAAAAAATGTTTTCAACAATTAGTATATAATTATTTAATTATTATAAGATTAGTTTAATAATTAAAAACATAATCTTTAATTTATATTAAATATTTAACAATATTCGGAGGTGCGTTAGAATTAATAAAATATTTCTTAAATCACATTTATTAATACTTAGTTCTAAATAGGTATGTTTACATTTTTTAGGGCTTTTTTATTGGTAGGGTCAGATTACAATTAGAAGAACGCAGCTACGTCATAACTATTACTTCGAATTTCGAATGCATATTATCTATAACTTTCAATAAACAAAAATGAGCATTCAATATAAAAACCGATACACGTCATCAATCAGTTGTGAAGTCATAGCCTTGCTGTGTTGCTCAATCTTCAAAATAGTCTAAGAATGTAGGAATTATTAAAACTATGAGGTTATGTTTTTTTGGCTATGTTATTAGGAACAATTAATTTTAAATGTATAATGAATTATATATAAAAGCCAATGAAGGTCATTGATAATGTTTAAAATGAAGTTTTAGGAAAACACTGAATTTAATAGTAATAAATTTTGCACAAGAGGTTTAAAATGACAAAAAAAGGTTAGGTTAAGGATGAAAAAACAAATTTTATTTAGTCTTGATTTAATTTACAATAAAAAATAATTATGTTCATTTAGTTTATAAACATCCATATTTAAAAGAAAATAATTAGAACAGTTAGGTAATACAATTTAAAAACACATGACATTTTAAAACTTAAATAATATTTAAGCTAAAATCAGTCAGAATAATCAGAACTAAAATCAGAATCATCTCTATTTGGTGTTATAATAATGGGAGCAATTTCCAATCGGTCCAGTATATGCTCTCTTTTACACAATTTAAAAATTTCTCTTTCAGTGTGTCTTACACTGTTTGCCCACATTTGTGGAGTAATTGTTCGGAGTGCTTCAGACCACATGTCTATACAATCGTGTTTTTCCATCCCGACCAATGTGCCTGTTAAAATATTGTTTTGAAATACCCCAAATCAGTTCTATTGAATTAAAAATACAATGGTAAGGAGGAAGATGTAACACCTTATGTCCATACTGTTCAGCCAGCATATCAGCTACATATATTTTTGGTGGTTTATTACTAAAAAAATAAAATCATTTAAAAAATACAGAAAAAGTAGATTTCCATTACTCACCGTCTAACAAGGTCCAAAAGTTCAGCCTTAAACATGGTGACTAAATAAGGTATGTTCTGATTCGTCAACCACTCTTGAATTTGAACCGTAGTCGAATTCCTATTCGGTGTTTTGTGTGCCAATGTGCTATGGTATGAAGATTGTCCATTACAATTAAAGATGGTTCATGCAGTCTTCGAAGCAATTGTTCTTCGAACCATTTTAAAAAATTTTCATTATTCATCTCACCGTTATAATCATAATTATTGCTTTTTGAAGCAAATAAGGTCCCGGCACCATCAATAAATCCATTTTCGTTTCCAGCATGAAGAATTATATATCTATAAAAAAGATCAATATACAGTTAACATGTATATAGTCATTAGTTTTTTTTTATTAACCTTTTACCATCAACTTTTGTACTTTTTACACTTCTTTTATTGCTGTCTTGCCAAGAACGGTTTATGGTGCCATTTTGGAAAATCCAAGTATAATCAATAAAAACAAACTGGTACAAATTTGCTTTCTTTTTTTTTGGTATATTTTCTTAAAAAGTCTGCCCGTTTTACGCCAAAATCTGGAAGTTCCATAAGACCTTGCATTGGTTCATCTTTCTGCCATTTGAAACCTATTTCTAATAATGAGGTATGCAATAATGTGCGACATCCATTGAACAACTCCTTCTCATTAAGTTTCACCAACCAAGAATCTAAACTTACATGCTCTCCTGAAATCATACATTAATTTGTAATTGTTTAATAATAATTTATATACATATACACTTACTAGACTCGTACATGCTACAAATAACATCTCGAATAGCACTGGTATTCAGAATTTTTGTGTTGGTAACTTTCTTTTGCCTAGGGCGCTTTTTTGGTGGTGACTTTAAAACTTCACTGTTCTTTACAGCTTGTGAAATGGAACTGACAGTAGAAAAATTGAGATTAAGTGCTTCTGCGACACGCTGAAACAAAATAATTATATTAATTTGACGGTGATACATTATTATTCAACTCACTTCTCTTACAGCTGTTAAAGGTAACAAAGGCCCATTATTATCACGTGCTTTCTCAAAATAATTTATTAGAGAAGCCACTAGTTCCTTGAAGCGACTATTTAATTGTTTTGGCATTTTTCAATGAAAAAATACACAATAAACGAACACCACTATTGAATTCCTAATAAATTTGTTCTGAAAAGAACAGTTTGTTAATAATTTAATCTAAAATACAAATAATTTGTTGAAAAGAAATCGTGCAAAATAATACAAAACAAATAACAATTGACATAAATGTATTAAAATTGAAAGCTGACACATTTGATGCCAACTTTTATTATGAAATTCACTAGAAAGTATTCCGTTAATAATCTGCCTACAGTACATTTACTACTGTGATAATATGCAATTTTATAAAAATGAAGTCCATGCGTCTAAATTTATTCATTTATTTACAAAATAAAATTTAATTATTTTTATTAGTGTGTGTGGTACCAATGAGTGTCACTGACGTCATCTCTGACGTGCATCGGTTTTTATATTGAATGCTCTATAAGTAAGTTGTTAGGTGTAAAACAATATTTAATATATTCCTATAATATTAACACTCCACTAAACCTCCATTAGGCGGCGATAACCAATTAATTACTTTGCCAAATGATGACGTAGCTGTGTTCTTCTAATTGTAATCGGATACTATACTCCAGGGTTAGCCCTATGTAAATGTGAAATCAGAAAATTTATTTGTTTTACAAAACTTAATCAAAATAAAGATTAAACGAAAACTGTTACAAATACAAACCGCAAATAAAAAGGACTTCTAAATATTGAAAAAATACATATTTTCAAAATTCTACACTAATTTTCATTATAGTATTTGTACAGAAATACTAATTTTCCTGCTATCTCCACTCTTAATTTATTTCGTAAATTGGAGTGAACGATTCCAAATGTTGAAAATATTCGCTCTACCGAAGCTGAAGAGAAGAAAGCACATAAAAATTCTGCTGTGAAACCCACTAACACTGGGTAATACCTCTTCTGAAAATATAACTGTTGAAAATGGTTATAATGTGATAGTAATCCACTTTTTCCATAGATTTTTTTGTATAATATTTAATGCTGAATCTTTTTCTGCACTAAATTTGGTAACCAAAATATAACCCACAAAATGAAAGTGCCTGTTTATATCGGTTTTTAAAAATTTGTATTTGAGCCAACGATAATTCTAGTTCGTCCTTGAATTTTCTTTCTAATTCTTTCCACACTTCTGCTGCGTCAGATAGAAAAGCATTTTTTTTTAACAGCTATATGCTTTAAGATGCTAAATATATTTCTTTTGTAATTTTCTCACATACTTTTGAAAAGTTCTCCCTTTGCCTTGCATATACCTCTTAACAATCTGATATACTATTCCATCATAAGTCGCTTGGAATGTTTTTCCACCTGCTTGTATGTATTTTGCCCTAGAAAGATGAATATGTCTGAAGCACTTAATAATTTGTGTAACATGTTCTTTGACATTTCTTATTTTTTAAATCTTTGCATAATAAGTTTAAAGGGTGAGCTGAGCATCCATAAGTTATAATTTTAGAGTTTACTTTTAGTTTATTTAATATATTTCTTCCCATAAGTGCCATGTTTGCTGCATTATCTGTTACGAAATATTTTACGTCACATTTGTATATATGTTACGGGCATTGTTGTAAATTGGACATTGACGATATTGACTGGACACTAACGTCAGCA